AGAGGGATCTACAGAATGCATCTCTGTAGATCAGCTGGGAAGAAGTTGAAGTTGAAGATACAACAGACAGAAAACCAACTTCTTTCTGCCCCCTTAATAATAATGTTCCCTTTAATTCCTGAATAACATTTAATTTAGGACTAGAACCTGGGGCCTTTGACAAGAAAAAGGAATCCTGAAATTTTTTTCTGAACGAGGATTAGTTTTTACATAGGAATTTACCTCCACTGAAAGAAAAGTCAGGAAATTGCATTACCTATCATTTTTGGAAAACCATTCACCCCAAATCCCTCTGAGTATGTCAGCGCTAAAACACAGAGCTATGCAAACACATGCACACACACACAAAGTGAAGGGGAGAAAATAGTCCCTTCTCCTCAAAACTTTGCTGTAGTTAATTGCAGATTCGAAATGACTACCAAGAACATTTAGAATTTAAAACAGTTGGATGCACCTTTAGCATTCTTGCATCTAACCATCGAATTTCCACTTTTTAGAAGTTAGCTTCCTGAATGTTTTTTAAAACCACAACCATATTCATTAAGAAAACAAAGATGGAAAATTTCCACAGTGTTTTCTAGCTCCTGTTACTCATCTTCCAGTAGCCCATTGGAGCTGTAATTGAGTTCCTGGTATGGCAAGAACTTTCTTAGGGCTCTCTAGAAGTATCAGAGCCTCATAGACCTGTGTCCTATGTCTCATATTCCCCTGCTGTTCTCAATTTCCATTTCTCTACTTTGGAGTTTGAACATAAGTTTATATTTCTAAGTAATCTCTTTTGGTTGCCAAATAAAAATAAACTAGCACTGTAGGCATTAAGGAGTTTCACTAAAAAAAGGACCCTCAAATATGTGGGCATCGGGTATAAGTTCTAATTTCAGTTAGGCTCTTAAGGATGCAAAAGCTGATTTTGACCTTGCAGGTCTGGAAGTTTAGTGGGCCCTGAAGAACCTTTGTTAGGCTCTGCTACTCTCCCTTTAAAAGTAGACCTGTCTGGTCTGGGTCCAATGAGCATATGAGTTGAGGGTTTCCATCGCGAATATTCCAAACAACATGAAAGGGGATTGCGCTTCATCTCAATTGATTTATCTTTTCATTGTTACCGAAGGCTTCTGCTTTAACGTGAGACTATCAATGTTGCCCTTGGATTAAAAGTCAACTCCATGTTGTCTAGTAAATATTGCAAAAGCCCCATCCTTTCCCATGAGCAAGTAAAGAGAATAGACCGCCTCTTCCCCCATGGATGCTAATGGACTTGAAAAACTGCAAAATGTATGACCTAAGAAAACATTGGTTCCCCTTGGCGGGAGAGAGGGAGCTAGGGGATGGAGGAGAGAGAATGGTTCTTGGGAAGCTCACTTATTTTCCTCCCTTTCCACACTTACATTTTAGCAGTGCACACATTAGAAGCTGTATGAGGTTTTGTTTGTTTTCAAGAGATGTTTGAAAGAAGATCAAATGCTTGTGAAAAGCACTGGATCGGCAGCCCTAGAAACTGAAGTGTCCCGGAAGCTGTGTGAGCCCGGAAATATCCCACATTTCTATTTATTTTGGCAATTTTACTTAAAACTAGCAAGAGCTGGAGTTCATGCTACAATTAAATTTTCCTCAGGCACCACGAAAGGAAAACACATATTACATTTGATTTTAACTAGTTGAGAAAAATGGTGGTTTTCTGAAAGATCATTGTGTGACCCCGAAATAAAAGCTAATCACTCTTCATGTGGGAGAGTCAAGCTACCCTTTGAGTTAGAATTATTCATAGGACCAGGGTCCTTTGGGTTGTAAGTGATCTTAGGTCATTGAATTATCTCCCTCTTCTGCTACAGGCTTGAAACTCTACTACACATCATAGAAAAGTGTTGGTGAACCTGGGTCTGAAATTTTTGGTGACATGAGACTGGCTTCCATTTCAGGAGACCAACTTCTTTTTCATATGTCTCAAATTTTTAGAAATTGGTAAAATAGTATGAACTGAAACATTAATAGTGCTTACTATGTGCCATATCCCATTCTAAGCACTATAGTATACAAATTTGCATATATAGCATCTCCCTGGAGAATCTCTCTCTCCCTCTCCTCTTTCTCTCCTCTCTCTCTCTCTCTCTCTCTCTCTCTATATATATATATATATAAAATCCTCAATAAACCCTCACAACAAATGCATGAGGTAGATTCAACTGTGACCCCCTTTTCACAGATGAGGAAACTGAGGCATAGGTAAGTTACACAATTTCCCAAGGCCACACAGCTAGTAGGTAAGAGAGTCAGGATTGAACCCAGGTAGTCTGACTCTACATTCTACACTCTTAATGAATATATTTTAGCTTGTCCAATGCTTATAACTCTCCTTTGTGTTTAGTTCAGAGGTTTGCACATTGTAGATGTTCAACAAAAATATTTTCTGCCAATTTTATTTCAGGATCATGATTCTATCCATATTTCAATTAGTTTATACACAAGCATCAATCTGTCCTAAGAAACAGCTGAAAGTAAAACACTGGAATTTTTTTTTTTTTTTGAGTTGGAGTCTCGCTCTGTCGACTGGGCTGGAGTGCAGTGGTACACTCACGGCCACCCCAGCATCGACCTGCTGGGCTCTGGCGATACTTCTGCCTCAGCCTTCCAAGGAGCTGGAACTAAAGGTGTGTGCTACCATGCTCAGCTAATTTTTTATTTATTGTAGAGACGAGGTGAAACAAATGGAATTTTAAATAATCGTTACTACTCTGCCTACTCTAAGAAAACATAGGAAAGTAACAGGTAGATAACATTCACTCTAAAGTACCTAGCCAGTTCCCACCTGAAGGAATAAGGTCCCTGAACCAGTTTAGACTAGAGAAGGAAATTTCATCATGCAAGACTTGTGTAAGCAGAGCTCCTCTGCCTGTTTTGCTCTATGCTTGCCTCACTGTCCTATGTAGAAAAAGAGGAATCATTTCATCTCGGCAGTACACTTATTTTTATGATCTGCCTTCCTACAAATATTCATCATCCTCTATCACTCATTTGTCTATCCACCCTTCCATCCCTCCATCCATCCATTCAGCCAGCCAGCCAGTCAGCATTTTATGTCATATATCAGTAGGTGCTTAGGTTTTCATATTAGAAAGGAGGAGATGGAAAGATAATAATAGATTTTTCCTGTTTTCTTGGTTCATGTTATTCAATAATCACAGGTAGGCATTCAAGATAATTGCTTTAGAGTTGATAAGATTCATTCCAAAACGAAGTGTATTTTAATGCATAGTCTGAGAGTTAAGCATTCTTTAACTGGAAAGTTTCCTTCCTTCCTTCCTTCCATCCATCCATCCATCCATCCAAGTCTTTGCTTTAGTTCTTCTTGAACAAAATTTATGGTTGGGTATAATTACAGTGTACCCAAACCTTTCCCCAGGACATCAATTCTTAATTTTTCTGCTGAACTGTATAGTCCCTTGATGAGCCATCTGTGTTTGCCGGATACTTTAAGGTGATGACTGCAATGGGCATGGGGAAGTGCCTATTCCAAGGTATGGATGTCTTAGTGGGAAAACATAGCATCTTCTGAATAAGGTGGTTGACCACATGGACTGAAGCCCCAGCCTGGTTTTTGTCTGCTCTGATAAGCCAAGATCCACTTTGCAACCACAGCAGCCATGGGCTGGCTCCTAGCGGGACCTTAATGTGTTTCCATTGGATCTCTTCTTCCTGGTTTGATTGTCTTCTTATCTCCAGAAGTTACCATTTGCTTAGCTGAGCACTTCTTTCTTGCACCCTCCCTCTGCTCTTATAATTCATAATTTGGAGGATCTCAAAATATTTTGCTGTATTATTTATGAAAGCTAATCTTACTGATTAATCCAGGGGAACCAAAGGCTAGGATCCAAATTCTGAGATTCTACATAGCTTTCCTTCACCCAGCTTTCTTGTTCTCACTCACTCCCTTCCTTCTGGTAGAAACATATGAAATTAGTGGGAGACTTCACGTGAGCATTTCTGCCTCCCTGTTTTCTTTTGGCTCCTTTTGATTGTGTGCAACTGTCTGGTGGCCAGAAAGAGAGCAGCTTAGAACCCAAGCATGTCTTTACCCATTTCTGGATGTCAGTGTCCTTATGTTTGAAATGAAGGGATTGAAACAAATGATTTCTGAGGCCTCTTCCAACTCAAACACAACTAACGTGGTCCTAGGGTTTTCATGGAGCAGAAACTCTTAGGATTTCAAATAGAAAAATATACAGCTGTGTGTGGGAGATGAGGGAGAGAAAGCATTTTCTAGGGGATGTAATAAAAAAGCAGTAGTCAGACGCAGGAAGTCTGTGATGGGCTGAATTGTGTCCTGTTCCTCTCAAGCTGTTCAAGTCCTAACCTCCAGGACCTTAAAATATGACTATATTTGGAGAAGGGGTCTTTACAGAGTAACTAGCTTAAACTGAGGTCAATAAGGTGGACTCTAATCTGATCTGACTCTTGCACTTATACAAAGAGGAAATTTGGACACAGAGATGCATATGGAGGGAAGACAAGATAAAGACCCCAGGGGAGGAGAAGGGAATCACCTACAAGCCAAGAAGTGAGGCCTGCGACAGCCTTCTCCATGAACTTTGCAAGGGCTGATACTTTGTGAACTTTTCATTTCCAGAACTGTGAGAAGATAAATTTCTGTGGTTTAAGTGACACATTCTGTGACACTTTGTTATGGCAGCCCTAGCAAACTAATACATCTTTATATCTAATTTCAAAGTGCAAAAATAAAAAAAAAAGTTCAGTGACCTCCTTTCGAAGGTTACCTCACAGGTTTTTAGGCAAATACCACATGCCCTTTGGTCTGAACCTTGGACTTGAATAAGAAACGCAGTCTCCAATGGTACTGCAGGAAAGGGAATCTGGGAACTTCTATGACACAATTCAGTCTTGCTGAGAATTTGGGGCTAATATTTAACTTGGAACATATTATTGACATGGGCAATTCTTCTATAACAGAGCCACACAAAATTTAAAAATGCATATAAACGCCTTGATTTTTATCTAAATTCTTTTATTTAATTTGTGTTTGGGGGGAAGGGAAGCACGTAACTTATTTGCCTCTGTTATAATATTTTTTTTCATTCTTGCCACTGTCTTTTTTGGGCTTTCTTGGGCATTACGTTTTCTTTTTCATTTTCTCCATGCCTCTGATCCACATTCTAAAGCGGGGTGCTTCTATTTCCACCACGCCATCACTAGCTCCGGCGGGCCCACATTTCTTCACCTCCTGCTTTTCTTTCTTGCTGTCTCTCCTCTCTCATCGTCCTTGCCTCTGTCTGCTTAGGCCTCCTGTCCTCCATTTTCCTTCCTTGCCTCCACGTTCAGCTTTTCTACTTCCAATCTCCCTCCTCTGCTCTTTCTTCTTTCCTCTGATCTGCTGACTGGCTTCTGTCCCCTCCTGCTGTTCCCCTCCTGGGTGTTTCTTTGGCCCACCTTTCCTTCTCCTCTGAGACTTCGAGTTCTTGTTGGTAGGTGGGGGCTGATACTGTAAATATCACAAAAATAATTGCATTGAGAACAGGCAGTTCCCGCGGTGTCCCCGGAGGCAGAGACTTTGAGTCAGCCCTGATGCCCAGGCTCCATCTGACGCAGGAGACAGCATTGGCACTAGAGAGGGGTCTACACCCCAGTCACAAGACCCAACATTCCAGGACTTTGGGACTCATCTCTGACACCAACTCCCTCCCCAATTAGAAATTGAAAGGAACTGTGTCACCTGGGGAGAGAAAGGACAAACTGCTTTCGCCAGCTGGAGCACACCTTCCTGCCACATTAATCTAGAAGTCTCTTCTGGGGTCCTTTCTCCTGGTCTCACCGTTGGCTACTGTGTTCTGTATGCATTGGGCCCTGCCCAGTTCCCTTCCATCCCTTGGTCGCACCTCCAAAAAAACCACCGCGGTCTTCCTCTAGCCTCAGCTGTGGTTTAGGACCAGGAAGCAGTAGAGGTGTCATTGTGAACTTTTGGGTCTCTCATCTTGTGCTCTTTGCACAATGTTAGTTTTGGCTCCAAAGATTGAAACCACACGTTGGCATTTTTTTTTTAAAAAACAGATTTCCCAAGAAGACTTAAATGAGAACTTTTTCTTCCCTTACTCATCTTCCTTGCTTTTTTTCCTCCTTCACCTTTTCTTTAGTTCTCATCCTTTTTACTTAGTGACTAAAAATTTAGTTTATCCCTTATATACGTTTGTCCATTCATTCATCCAGTCACAAAAATCTACCAGGAGTTTATGTACTTCTAATAACGTAGATGGTACCTCTGTAGTTTGTTTATAGTCTAGCTCTTAAAAAAAAATGCCTAAAGATTTTAATTATTAGAAATTTCTAGACATTCTTACAGCCAAACAGAAATTTCTATTTTTAATGTTGTTTGTTTAATTACGTTTGCAACTGAATGTGAATTTTGAGTACTTTCCACTAGAGAGTCTTTTTTTTCTTTGCATGATTGCAGAATCCCGGAACTTAAAAGGTTACATGCTTTTTTATTAATTACAGCGATGACAGACACACACACTGATCCAGCAGTGACTTTGTTCAGGCACATGGAAAGCATCTCAAAGTGTATGCACTAACTTCCTTAATTTGGACAACAACGCTTTGTGGTAGATGTTATCATTATCCCAATTTTGCTCATGAAACTGAGGCTTGGATAGGATACATTATTTGGCCGGGGGGCTCTCAGCTGGTGTGTGGGGAAGCTAGGACTTCAGTTTTGTCTGATTCCAAAGCTCGTGTTTCTTTCTTTAGTCACTGTTTGCCACTGTCTTCCGATGAGCAGAGTGTTTCTGAGCAGTAGAAAGGGAAATTTGCAATGTAGATTGACCTAAAGGAGTGGGCAGGTAATCGGTTCCTTTGGTGGAAATGGAGCTTTTTGGACCTGTGGGCCAGGAGACAATGGGATGGAATTTCTATTTGGCCCACCCACATGCATAAGGTAGAGCCCACTTGAAGATGGTGGCATCCCACCCATGGGCTTACCTTCTGAGTCTTGGGCACGTCGGTGTGGCGTTGGGCACGGACAGAGCGGGCCGACTTGGCAGGCTTGAGGGGTGCACAGTACATCTCCAGCCTCCTCAGGTCACAGCTCCGGAAGCAGCATTCGTCCACGATGCCCGTCTGAGGTGCCCTCCGACTGCTGGAGCCATACCCTGTGGGCTTGTCTGTACAAATCAAAGTGGACTCCGTTAGGGTGGAACCTGCTCTCTCCACAGTCTTCCACCAAGCTCCTGACGCCTCTTCTCATCCCATTTCTAGGCAGCCTACACTTTCTCCAGTTTATCAACCTCTTCTTGAACCTTCCACAACAATTCCTGATCCCACAAATCCTTCTGGATTCCAGTATGTCTCCTGGATTCCAGTATGTCTGCACACACTTGGCACTAACTCATTCGCCACACGATTTGTGTTAGAATTCACACAAGTTTGCAACAACCTGTTGTCAAGGATTGTTTACGCCTAACACTAGTCTTTCCTTGTCTGTTGGCCTAGGTGGATGCCAGAAATATTAATTAAAAAATGACCATGCATTATTTTCTTAATCTTTTCTGGCAAATCTGCATAGTTTTGTATGCTGGACAGCTCAATGTTTGCTTAGCCGCTTCGACTATAAAACCAGGTTGAACATCAAAGAGGTTTTAAGTCTAGGAAGGGTGCTTCATTTTACTGACATAAAAACTGAGACTCAGGTTGGGAATGAGTCTCAGAATTGGGAATGTAAGTTGTGAAGCCAGAATTCAAACTCAGATCTACTTGCTGCAAAGCCCAAGTTCTTCATACCGTTGTATGACTCTGGATAAGTCATTTAAGGTCTCTGGGCCTCAGCCTGCCTATTTATATGATGGAGTTAGTTGTATCTTCCTTGTAAAAATTGAGGGTTAAATGAGATCATGTATGAATATTGCTTAGCACAGCACTTGACATATAATAGGTCCTACATAAATATTGACTTGCTCTCTCCAAATACCCATTCCAGGGCTGCATACAGTCTGTGGGGGAAGTAATGCCACTGTTGACTGCATGCAGAAGGCTTGGAACTTGAAACTGATGACAGTACCAATGTGATAGGGCTCCCTCTTGTATCACCCCAACGGGCCAGAACAATGATGTATTTCTCATAGAATAACTCTCAGACTGAAGCAATGTCCATCTTTCATGTGATTTTGATATCCCAGAGGGAACACCATGAATCCAATTTCTTGTGATATTTGCGAATCGATTAGACTTCTTTACTTGGCAAGTAGGTTTGGGTTTGGTTTTATTTTGGCTTGGGCACACTTTTCCTGGCTCTAGAATTAAAAAAGCGGGCAAAACAAGTCTATGCGGAACTTAAAATGTACCTGAGTTATTTGTAAACTTTTTGTCAGGGTAGAGCTTTTGTTATCTATATCCTGGTTACATATGCACCACTCTATGTAACAGACCAAATGGAATCTCCTCTGGCTCAGGCAAGAGCAGAGGGCCAGGACATTGCCTTCTCTTCTCTTTCCTTATCTCTCTTGGAAGGCAGGGGCCTAGATCTTTTCCACTGATAGTCAGGCTTTATGGAAGAAAATCTGTAAAACCCAGATCCGGCAAAATCCAATTAATCCATCTGACTTCTATTCAGTCTTAATTCCTGACAGAAGAAAGCATTACATTATAAATAAAAGGTATATGTTCCGTTAATAATGACACCAACCTTGAAGATGAGATTTTGAAAGTCAGAATCCTCATGTATTTTTAACTCCCTCACTGGGGGGAGATCAGGCCCATGGTAATGGCCTGCTACCAAACTAGTTTGGCTGCCTCTCTGCTGGAAGCGCCAGCCGTTCAATGGCATCCTCTAAGAACCCAAATGTTTTCCTGATGCTTGGCACGGGACCCTGGTGGCTGCTTCCTCCCGTAAGGCAGGTTTATTGTCATTCTTAGGGCAGCTGGAGGTAGTAACTTAGTGAGGGTTCACTCGTGGTCTCTCTGGGCAGGGCCTGCTGCTCTGTCTCGGAGCAAGCCCTGTGTGCTTCTCGTGGCCGTGGGGTTTGGGAGGGACCAGGCCCTGGCAAGCCGAGTCTTGGCGGGTCCCCTGAGCAATGTAAACAATGTCTCTTGTTTTTTTGTTTTTATAATCTTTTCCTGGAACTATAAATTAGAGGAAAGACACAAATGGGCTTACACGGTTCTTTGTAATCCACAAAGGACTTCTACATACTTTCTGCTAAGTGGCTAGCCAGTGAAGTGTAGCTGATAGGCTTTGATTTTTCTCTTGGGATGGGGAGGAAGGAGAAGGTGACTTGGCCTATTTTGTGATCACTGTCTCTGTAATCCACCACAGGTGATGATGGCTCTTTGTTGAAATTATAAATTTCAACAGGACGTAATTGGGAGTCATTGCGAAATAGTAATTTGATGTTTGGGGTGGGCTGGCCGAAGTAGTTCCAGAAACTCTCAGACTTAGCTAACTAAGAAACAAGTGATTTCAAAATTCATGCTTATGGGTTGAAGACAGACGGGTAGGCTTTGGGACTCCGGAGCCTATTTAGTATTTCCATTTCAAGCACCTCTAACTTAATCTTACCTCTGAGATCCCACAGGTGCTAGAGCTCCTTGCCTCCCACAGGAGGAAGACACCAGTCTTCATCTTGCGATGGCAGAGAACGTTTCTACAAACTGCATATTCCCTTTTTGGTGACTATCCACAGCCATGCACCTCAACAGAGGTCTATTTCCTCTTGTAAAACAGAAAGCAGTCATCATCCCAGCAAAAAATAGTAGCGTGTAGTACCAGGCATCTGTTTATCACCTCTCTTAGATGAGCTCAGATTTCGACATGGCTCAGTCTATCCAACAGCTATGCTCTTCAGTCCATGGACTGACAGATTTAGGAACTGAGAATTTTAGGACTTTTCTGTAATGTTCCACAAAGAAAGTTTATCTTATGCTATATATGCTTTTTAAAGGCATTGTTGAAATAGTGATATACAGACTTAGCTTTTGTCAAAAATGTAACTACCAATTATCTCCAACTACCACAATCCTAGAGAGATGTTTTTCTTTGTCTATTTATAATGTCTACAGTGAACTCATTGTACCTCATTGGAAACATGACTATAACAAGTGTTTACCTTTTAAAGTTTAATTCATCTTTGAAGTGTCCTATAAGCTTGATTTCTGGTTTTACATTATGATACTTAGCATTCATGATTTCTCATCAATTGAGAGATAACGTTGAGTGCCAAAGTTTTGTCCTATATCTTCGAATGCCATATATTGTTTCTTTTTCCAGAACCACAATAAATATATTTGCTGCAATACTCTTAAACCAGATGCCTGGTTCAATGTATTTATTAGAAAGGCAATAAAACGGTTTGCGTCAGTATTTGAGATTTTCTTATTTGAGAAAAATAGTTACTTTTAATGACTTCTAAATAACAATTATTGTCATTTTGAATGTTTTTTAAGTGAGATGGAACTAACTGCTCCAACCTTGCCCTACCTAATTCTGCTCCAGTGGGCAGTATCAGAATTGGTAAGTGAATGGAAAACAAACAGCAGCTTAATGTAAGAGAAGCATTCCTGACAATTTGAACTCTCAAGTGTTAACAGTAGGACTGACTTTGAAAAGTAATGGACTCCCCATTGTAGGAAGCAGTTAAGTGAAGGCTGTATGAACACTTGTCAGTGGTCCCAGGAGCAGATTCCTGTATTGAACACAGTGGATGACTGCTATGGTCTTTTCTATTCCAAAGATTCTATAACAAGTAAAGAGAAAACTCATCTGGACCAAATATTCAGCATGGTTGAGAGGTACTTCCATTGTCTTCAAGAAAGAGGTTCAAAACTGGGCTCGGTGGCTCAGTCTGTAATCCCAGCACTTTGGGAGGCTGAGGCGAATGGATTACCTGAGCCCGCGGGTTTGAGACCAGCTTGGGCAACTTGGCGAGACCTCATCTCTACAATAAAAAAAAAATAGCCGGGTGTGGTGGCGTGCATCTGTAGTTCCAGCTACTTGAAAAGCTGAGGCGGAAGGATCGCCTGAGCCCAGCAGGTTGAATCTGCAGTGGCTGTGAATGTGCCACTGCCCTCAGGCTGGGTGACAGGAGTGAGATTCCAACTCAAAAAAAAAAAAAAAAAAGTTTCAAATTTTTTCTAACTTGGAAGATGAACTTTTATTTTTCATTTCAGTTCCTCAAGATGTTCACAACATTTCTAAATTGTCCTTATCAATGCACACACAGACAAAAAAAGACAGGTGACTGAGATAGTCTTTTCTACAGTCATAGAGTTCTGTTGTGTTGGCATGGTGAAGTGTCCATATACTCACTCAGCTGTTAGACTGAACAGACATGCATGACATTCCACAGAAACGTTGCTGACAGAGTCTTGACATTGAAAGTTTGTATTTTGCGTTTATTTTGTCAGTAGTTTTGCCTCTTCAGCTTCATAGCATGTGGACCAAACATTACTTCCCAGACAAGCTGGCCACCCTCAACCTAGACTTTGACTTTTCCTTTAGTAGACATAATGTTTAATCACAGTGCACTGCTGTATCTTGAAAGTTGGCCAACAGACAGAATTCCAATGGTTAAACAGCTGGCTTCTATAATAACAGCACTTCCCTTTAAATAATGCATGGTCAGTGAAGTAATTTAATAATCTTCAGGGCAAACTTGCTAGTTACAAGGGTTTTGGGCAGAACTGTGGTATCATCAAAACCACACCAATTAGCTGAGTCTCACATTTTGTCATGGATACAAGCAGCTAACTCCACTCCATCTCTGAAGGGAAATGTGTAATGCTGAGATTTAAATGGGGTCATCACTTCTAGAACAAAGAGCTCTGGTCCTTCATCACTGGTAAAAGTAGTACTCCATCCATTGGTGCTGTATATGCCTGCCAACGTTTCTTATAGGTATCTGAGAATGCAGTTGGGATTCTGCACTCGAGTTCAATTTCCTCTGAAACATCCCCTCTTGGTTATTAAGAAGGCATTACTTTAGTTATTTTTAACTCTATCATTGGAAAGAGGAGACGCTGATTTGAAGAGTCAGTATTTAAATTATAAAAAATGCAAACATTTTCCGTGTAGGGATATATCTATTTTTGAAGACATACGTACTCTTAGGGTTCTGAGAAATAGAACAATTCTCTAGAAATTTACTAATGAGAAGAGGTTCCAAAGATTTAA